TATGAAAAAATAATACTTAAAAAATATACTGTGAAAAGGGCTTATTTAAATCAACATCTTCTACAATAGCCTTTTCTAATTAACAATTATAGTAAAATTTGTCAGAATTTATGGAAATTGTTTTATTCTCTCTTTTTAAGTGCAGGGGCGTCGCTAGCCTTCACAATCTCAGGGGGCTCAACTAAAAAAATTTTTATCATATTTTGTCTATATTATGCATACAAAATAAACTGGCATATAAAAATCGACATAGTGCAATAATATAATTCTTAGCAACTTACATTGACAAAAGGTTATCAAACTAGTTTAGCTCTCTTACCATTTTAGAAAATATTTTATAGAATGGACTAATAAGGAAAAATTTATTGGCCTAAACCCAATCAACAATTTTTGAAGGAGAGAGTAACCAATCCAAATCATAAAACTATATGGTGGTTAGAGCTTCCTCTAAGATGACATGATGGAAGCTAGATAAGCAATCGAGAAAATTATTGTGAGATATTAAATTTCTAAAAGATTATTTTCCATTTTAAATGATATATAAACGACTACACAATTGACCATTATTGTTTATCTAAAATATGCAATTATATGCTCTCAGGCGTATAGTAATAATCTTAAATTACATAGCAACACAAATAATAGATGCTGGTTAATTTGCAATAATAGCCATGACACTCACGATGTAAACTAATATCAGAATTTATTATGTTAGATAAATTGATAAAATAAAAACACTAAAAATCTTTGGAAGAAATAATTATGCAAATATAATGAAGCCTGGAGTTATTTATACGGCAATGCCATATTAGAAACGAAACGTTTTCTAACTATAAAATAAGGACCAGAATGATATGATGAAACAAAAGATTTTACATATTGTCGCACCACCTTGAGATATTATATTTTAAAATAATAGTAGTTTGTAATAATATCAAAAATATACTTGTATTAAAAATTTAACTCAAGACGGTTTTTCGAAAAAGAAAAAAATAGTTTTCCTAAAAACACGTAAAAAAAGAGAAGAAAAGATATCAAATTTATTACATCTATTGCAGAATGAATCATAAAATGTTTATTTTTTAAAATTATTTATATCTAAATAGATGGCGTTAAATACTTGAATGCAATTTGTTATTATATTTATTATCAAAACTATTTATTAGTAAAATTTATTATAATATTAACTGTAATATATTATATAACTGTCAAATACGTCTATAAAAGTGGCATTATATCTAATATTATAAACAACTGTATATAGTAGAGGATTATAAACTATTAATCTACGACCTTTAAAATATTTTTAAGGTATGATAATAAAATTTAATAAATATACAGTTGATTAGTCATTTTGAACTCGGCTAATTACAATATTAAATTTGTTAATTTCCAAATAATATATGATTATATATATTTAATTTGGGTTATAATAATTTAAATAATAAAAGTCAATTAAACTTCAACTGTTAAAGCTAAATTAATATTTAGTGAGTTATTGATATTATATTTTTAATACAGAATTTGATTGCAAGCTGACATAGTGAAAATATAATTTATATGTATTAATCTATCTAATAATTAAAATAATATTCATAAATATTCTTATTAATTTCTAAATAATAAAATTATGTCTATATATTACTTAATGGAATTATAAAAGAAATCATTCAGTGGGCAATCAAAAAAAATTATTTTTAGTTCAAGGGGATATTAAAGAGCCATTAAAAAAAATTTTTTTGCTTCAGGGGGCTATTCAAATTTTTCAAGGGGCTCGAGCCCCTGCGCCCCCCCCCCTCAGCGACGCCACTGTTTAAGTGTAAGAATTCAAAAAACTTCCACGATTTTTTATTATTTTAATTTACTGTTATAATACTAATATTATTTATAGATTTATTAAACATAGATGCATCCATTTAAAAAATAGGTAAAATTATGGCAACTTTTGCAATTTTAGATTATTGATTTTTTGATTTCTAAAATGACGTCAATATAATTATGATTTTAAAATATTTAGAAAATAAGAATTAATCAAAATCCTGACAACAGTTATGTTAACCTATTAATAGAATAGGAAAGTATCATGAACAGCTGCTTTTTTGGCGTAAACAAAAAAGTCGACGGCCGGCCAAAAAAATAAGAATTTTAAAAAATTCTCATATATCATTCATTTTTTCGTTTTTTAATTATTTTTCTAAAAAGATTTCATTCGCCCGAGATAATTCCTTTTCCATATTTTGATATATGGATCTAGAATTCATTCCGATATCGAATTTCCATTGATATTTATAAATATTAAATTTGATGAATATTTATTCTTAAATTCGTTCGTTTATCTGCCATTATCAATATCATAAGATGAAAATCCTTTTCACACTCGGTTACATAGTTAATGAATTTAAATTTTTTTTATTAGTAATATTTTTAATTGTGGAAGCCCAACTTATTCATTAATTAGAATCTTTGGCGGATTCTTTTTATTTGCTTTTCGCCAAATAGTGCATTTAGGTGCTTAGGCAATTTTTTTTTGAATAAAGTATATATCGGAAAGCTAAATAAATAATTTTATTAAAATTTATTTAAATAGTTTATTCTCGTTTTCAAAGCTATCTATTTGACGGGACTGCATGATGTTTTCTAGAGAAATTAGGAATTGATCAATTTTTAATAAAACTAGTTTTGGATTTTTTTAAATAGTATATTTTTAAATAAATTTCTGAATCGGGGGATATCTGTAAATATTTACCAACACATCTACATGAAAGAAAGGGGTGGGAAAGATTTACCTCAAATTATTTTTGAAAAGGGTTAGGAGGTAGGCATATAAATAGCTGATAGGAAATAAACGCTATTTGTGTGGGTTTAAGATAAAAATAATTAAATTTTTTAACATATTAATAAATATTTATTTCTCATTCATTCACAGATAACATTTTAGTGCAGCACCTTAAAATTATACACGTTCGTGGCTTATTAAAAATACGGTTAGTAACAACTTGTTGATTATTATCAACTGATGATTATTTGTTATTCCTGGCCTAAATAATCACGAGGTCTAAAAGATTTTAATTAGAATGTTTTGAGTTTATAAATGATGGCTCATCATATTTTAAATTAATATCATAGGTTTTTTTTAAGCATAATGGGTTTAAGGGAGTATAAGTATATTTTTGGATAGGGTTTGCCTTCAATATACTTTCTCTCATTACGCTGCCCTACATAATATTTTATTATTGGAAACATGTTCTTAATAATTTATTTTTTGCAATCATTGGAAAATGGTTAATTGGCAAAAGGACACCTAAGTACCTGTTTAAAGAATGTCCCAATTTATTATTTCTTTATTTATCCTAGTAATTAAAAACCTACATATTTAAAATTTTAAAATTACTCTTTAAAATTTAAAAGATTTTGTTAAAATTAGTTCAGCCAGTAATGATGAACAGTGGAGAAAAATTGCTAAGCCTTGACGCAAGAATATATTTTTTTCAAGATTAAGCTATCCTTTAAGTTTAAATATTGATCATGAATAAGATTATAATTTCCCTTAAAATTTTGGTTTAGCTTTTTAGAGTTAGCTCAAAACTTGTCAAAAGTGGAAACCATTTATTATCACTACTTGTTAGTGATAAATATCTTTAAATAAAGTAAAACTGTTTCCACTTATAAAATTTTACATAAAAATATTGAAAAATAAAACTCTTTGCTTCTCTGCTTTCTATGTGGTGACTATTAAAAAATATGAAAAAGATTTTTGACTATAAAAATCTTAATTTAATATTTGGGATGATTTTTTTTTGAAAGGGGGGAGGAGGGAGGAAGTAGTGTTTAGCATACCATATCCTACCTTGGCAATACATCCATTTATATATAATTATGGAATCTAAAAAGTTACGACATTTCATTTGCTATATTTATATTATTTCAATTGTTTTTAATATTTCAATCGTTTTTAATAAATCGTTTTTAATATTTCAATTTTTATTTAACTTTAAATTATTTTATACATTATATTGTATTCTACAGACAAAATCGCTTAATTGCATATCGCTTAAGTGCGAATATTTTTAAATGCGAAAAATATCACCATTTTATTAAAATCTACAATGTTATAATGTAAAAATATATTTTTAAATGTAAATCGGTTAATTGCTATATATCGGTTAAATGCGAAGAATTTAAAGTCTCATTTATATGTTAACAACGCTGTTTTTATCGAATAGTTGCGAAGCGATTATTTTTGAATTGAAGATTAGAAGTAAATAATTAAAAAATTATTTTTGAATTTATATCAATCCCTTTAATTCTTAATCCTATCTGATGGGTTTTTCTACTTATTTGAGTCTAAGCTCATAATTAACACGTACATAATTATTATGCTTAAATTGTTATTAGAAAATTTAATTTATAGAATCGAAATTATATCCTTGCCTTACAAATAAACCGCTAGAAATTAAGAAAATTAGCGAAAACAGAGGCATAATGTATAGATTAGACACAAATTGGGAAAAATATTTTTAATCATTTTGAATTTTTTTAATAAATGCAATGTGTATATTAAAGATGCCAAATGTGATACCTTTATTTAGAATATATGTAAATAATATATTGCTAATAATAACACAAAATTGGCATATATAAACAAAAAATTATATATCATCTTATAATCTGCAAAAAATTAAATAAGTGCTAACGCTTCGCAATTAACCGGTTTTGAATGTATATAAAATGCTTCGATTTAAACTACTAATAAAATATATAACAAATTTCTCAAAAAATAAATTTGCCAATTCTTGCACAAACAAAAATTTGTCTCTATTTCTTGTCCATTTATGTGTCCCCCTTTAATTTTTTTAGAGTAAAATGGCCCGGTCAAAAATTTTATGACTAGAACACTGAATAACTATCCTATAATGCTCTATTACAGATTGCTCTCAAATGCAAGTTATCATATAAGACAGTAGATTGACAAGTGTTTTATTATTTCTTTTTATAGTGGATAGCATATTTATTTATAAACCAGCTGTTTTTAAAATCTAAATATGAAATGAAAATATTGATCTTAATAAGTATTTTAAATACAATTCTTATTTCTAATTTTGTTTAAAGCAAGCGATAGATGTTTTTCCAAACAAAAGGAAGATATTGTAGGCCCGTTACTCAAGGAGAAATTATCTACAAAATTCTCAAAGTTTTTTTTATAATTAATTAAATAAAATTATAGATATTTAGTGCTATTATTAATTTAGATGTATGTCCAGATGATTATTATACCATACAAAATATATTGTGTACAAATTCAGATTTAAATGATGGTTGTAATATGATTATCACATCTGGAGGAACAGGATTTACACCACGAGATGTAACTTCAGAGGCAACTAAACAAATTCTTCATAAAGAGGCACCTGGCCTAACATTATTAATGATGATGAAATCCATAAATGTAAAAAAGATTTGTATTAATAAATTTTTTATAAAATATAGATAACCCCATATGCTTCTCTATCTCGTGCATGTTGTGGTATCAGATATAGTACTTTGATTATTAATTTGCCAGGAAGTTGTAAAGGTGCTCTTGAAAATTTAGACAATGTTTTACCAATTTTAGACCATGCAATTAATTTGATTAGCAATATTCAAAAAGACAAACATTTTGATAGCCAAAATATCAAAATATTTAATATTATAACGAAGGATTCTGTAAATAACCTAGTGATACCAAAATTAGAATCTGATATAAATTGTCTTCGAAAGTCCAAATATCCATTATTATCAGAAGAGAGAGCTCTATCTATAATTTTAAATGAAACACTTATATTAGGTGCTAGTCGAAATATCAATATTTTACTATGCCATGCAAATGATACCCATTTGTTTAATTATAATACATTATATTCAAAATTAAATATACCTTCATATTTGACCTCTTTAAAAGATGGCTATGCGATTAGTTGTAATCAATCTAAAAAATATACAAACTATAATGTTATTTACAAAGAAGAAGATATTAGCTCAGCGGGCAAATATTATGCCTTGAAATTATCAACTGGATCTATAGTTCCATCATGGGCATATTGTGTTACTCAGGTATTTTCCCCCCATAAATTATGTTGTTTATATTTTTAAACATTATTGTTAAAAATAAATCAGAGACCTGTAGAGCCAAATTCAGGTGACTTTTTTATCCCATTCATTTCTAAGCCTCATTTTTTTTAAAAAATTTTTATGGCCAGGACTGCTAAAATTATTTTATGGCTTTATTTTAAATAGTTTCAAATAATTGATAAACCATTTGTTAATTTATTTGGGGCACATCTGATGAAACTATATGATATATCAGCAAGGTTACAAAAATGGACCTTATGTTTAGCCGGATATGATTTTAATAAAAACTATAGAAAGGGAAAAGATCAGACTATTTGATGGCTTATCTAGATTAATTAATGAAGATGTCATTTGTTTTTTTAATTTGGGAACTGTTAATAATGATCAAAATATCAGTGATTTGGATATAATTAAAAGAACTAGATTGGTAGACACCAAGCTCATTAAAGTTAAAGAATTATTAGCAAGTCCAGTTTTAAAATAAATGAATTGATAAAGGTGGTAATTATTCAGAAGTTAAGAAATATAAAACACGTGTAAATATTTTAAACATAAAATATGATTTTGTGTTTAAAGGAAGTCAAATTATTATTCTGCAAGAACTAAGAAAATATATGCTTAATGAGTTACAAGAAGGGCATATTGGTGTATTCAGGACGATAGATATGATGAAAAGTTATTTTTGGTGGCCAGGAGTTATTAAAGACATAAGGAAATAGTACTTGGGTATAATATTTGTATGACTATGTACCTACATTACTAAGAGTTAAACAAAATCAATGGGTGCAGCCAAATAAACCCTGGTATTAAATTTACATGGATTTTTATGGACCTATTAAAAAATTTTACTGGTTGATAATTATTGATGGCTATTCTCGATGGCTGGAGATTATCAAGGTTAAAAACATTAACACCCTATAATTGTATTAAATTAAAAAAATTTCTATATTCGGTTATCCAGAAGAGTTGGTATCAGATATAGACCAACTTTTAGGTCTTATGAATTAAATTTTTTTTTACAAAGAAAGGGTATTGTACATAATACTCCTGCTTATCACCCCACCTCTAATGGGATGGTGGAGATGGCTGTTTGATTTATAGAATATAGGGTTAGGATGAGCTCATGTTAGCAGATGTTTTTTTAAATTATCGCAATGTTACTCATTCGGTAACGAATTTTCCACCTGCAACTATATTGTTGAATAAAAAATTGAGATGGAAATGGTTTTAAAAAAATGACTGTGATGTGGAACCTAATTGTAAAAGAATTAAATATAAAGAATTAGTCATAGGTAACTATGTCATCGTGAAAGTGGGTACAAATTAATATTGGCATGAGGAGATTGTCATTGGGAGGATCAGTAATGTAATGTCATGTGAGAAATCACGATAGATCGTAAAGTTGTTAAAGCGCACATCAATTAAATTAGAGATCGTTGATAAACTTGTTTATATTAGTTTCAATTATTAACGAGTATAATATATGTTTATACATACATACTTATAATTATGATGCATCTTGATATAGCCTACTCGCTCAACCTTAGATGTGGCGGTAAATGTTCTATTATGTTTTTAATGGTATAGCCATTATTATTACTAGGGGTGTACCGATACCACTTTTTGGAGGCCGATCCGATATTCTCGATATTAAATTGATATCGGCCGATTACCGATCCTATATCATATATAATTCTGTATTCTGTAAAGATACCAATGGTTTTAATTTTTAATATACTTTTTTTTAATATAACATCTATAATTTATCATAATGATCAGTTATAGATTATATTCAAATTCAATTCTAAAAGTTTATAAAATATTTTTATTGTTAAATCAACATTTATCTATAAACATAATAAGTAATAAACAAATATATATGGAATTTGAAATAAATATTTAACATTAATATATCAAAGATTTCTTTTTAGAAATACCAAATTTCCAATTTACCAGAAGTCAGCCTGCAGCGATGGTAACTGTCAATATCACCAACTTCACTAAAAACAGATTCTGAAGAGATCATTGCACACTTTTATGAACAGAATGTGCAAAAAAAATAACAATATGGCAGAAAGTTTATTAATTAATTATTTCTTATTATTAAAAAAATATACATAAAAATAGATTTCTATTTTATTTATAAAAAAGAAATAAATGATTTTAGATATAACTTTTTTTAAAAAATTTATAACATTTTATCTTTGTTAAAGACGACATTTTATATGGGATAGGGATCGGAAAATTTTGATATTGGTCGATAACCGGTATTTTAAAATAAATGAAATATCGGCCTATCCAATCCGATAAAAAATATCGGTAAATTATTACCAAACAATTCAGCTATATTCGATTGAAGCTGTGTTGTCTTTCTTCTTCCGACTTTGTTGTTTTATTATATAATTAGATAAAGGGTGGTTGTAATATTCAGGGAAAGTTTTCCGCTTGAAACGATAAACTGAACGGATAAATTTTGATCATGGGCAATTGTCTTTGCATTGGGCTGATCATCAGTTGGTTTTCTCTGCTATATTTTAGCCAATTCCATTTTTTCATTCATTCAATTACCATTTTTTTCCTCAAACGAATTAGATTAAAATTTGGTTGCTCTTGAATATTCGAATATTGACATCGGTTTGTAATGTCAGTTAGACATCTAAGGGAATTTGATGGGATAGGTTAATAACTTTGGCATCTATTCGTTATTTCAGATAACACCCCGAGAGAATATGAAGTTTCAATAGACCCTAACCCTAAAATCGAATATTATATTAACAAACATGAAACTGGAGATAGATTCAAAATACTAGCGATAGTAAAATTTAAAAATTATAAAAAATAGAAATAGTTTTTAATCGGAAAAAAAAATTATTCATAGTTAATAATTAGAATTGTCGCAAATTTAATTATTAGAGGTTTTAATTTAAGTTGAAAAAATTACCGAAAGTTTTTAAAAATAATAATGCTTTTCTTAACACTTACTTTCGAGTTTTTAAAAGTTTTTTAAAAAAGGATGTTTTTCTCAACAAGTTTTTACAATAATTACGGAAAGTTATATAAATCAGTGTTGTGATGATTTAATGAAACATGTTGAGTATTAAATTAAAACCCATCCTTATAAAAATATTCTGTTTGCAAAAATAATTAAAATAACATAAGGAGGAATAAAAGAATTTTCAATAATGCTTTGGCTATATTTTAATTATTTTTGCTAAAATTTTTTTATATGGATGGGTTTTAATTTAATCGTCAATATGCTTCATTAAATCATCACAACACTGTATATAAGAATGTTTTTTCACATTATGGAAATGTGTTACAACAAAATATTATTACTGTATTACATGTGGGAAGAGGATAAGATTAATATAATTGATAATGTCAATTTAATATAATTACAATAATACATTTATATTATACGTGGGAAGGGGAAGGGATTAATATAATTGATAATGTCGATTCAATTGTTGTGATGATTTAATGAAACATGATGACGATTAAATTAAAACCCATCCGGATAAAAATATTTTGTTTTTAAAAATAATTAAAATAGCATTTAATTTTAAAAACTTGAAAGAAAATGTTGAGAAAAACTTTATTATCTTTAAAATCTTCCGGTAATTATTTAAATTAAAACTTGTAATAATTCTTATTTAAATTTGCTATAATTTTAATTTTAAATTTATAATATTTTTTTTTAAATTTATAATTTATATCCAATTAAAAACTATTTCTATTTTTTTAAAATGTCAAATTTTACTATCGCTGGTATTTTGAATCATAATATTTGATTATTTTAGTAAACAGCATCGGGCCTAATTTTTCAAGCCCGGCCCGAAATTTTTTAAAAATATTGCCCGGTGTGGCCCGAATCCGAAATTTTTTTAAAAACCGGCCAGGCCCGAACCTGAAATTATTTTAAAAAATTACCAACCCTGCCCGGCCCGATTTTATTTGAATATAGAAAAAATTCAATATAAAATTGATAAATCTAAATATATTTAAAAAAAATACCAAAGTCCGACCCGAACCGGCCAGAATTTTTTTTTAAATATTAGGCCCGAACCCGAGTTTTGTTTTAAAAAATTGAGCCGAGCCCGTTCGGGCCGGGTACGAGCAGGGCCTACTTTTGCAGATCTCTAGATTATTTACTAACTTTATATACATAATTTTAGAAATAGATTTTATTTATTTTGGTGTCTCGAATTGATCATTAAAAAAAATCTAAACAAATAAGAATGAACTAAAAACCATAAATTTGAATTTCCATTCATGTTTATTAACAAATTATTCTAACTTCATATCCTGATTTACAATCTTTAGATAACTAAAATAAAATTAAAATATTGGAATAATACTTTAAATTTAAAAAAATTTATTGTAAAAATCTTAAGAAAATTTTTTTTATAGATTTTTTTAAAATTCTCATTTTCCCACTTAAACTTGTGTACAAAATAAAACAAAAAACTATTCGAACCTTTTGACATTTTGAAATTTTTATAACCTTGAAGTTAGTCTTCATTAAAGTTTTACAACTTTTATTATTATTTCTACAATAATTATGGAAAGTTATTTAACTATAAAAGAATGTTTTTTCACATTATGGAAATGCGTTACAACAGATCATTTTATTACTGTATATTGTATTCTATTATATTTAATCAACATTAATTACAATAATCCCCTTCCCACATTTAATATAATGTATTATTGTATTTGAAGTATTTTTTTGAAGTAATTCTTGAAGTATATTCTTTTATTCTATTTTTTCATGTAATTGGTTTCGTCCATATTCTTTTCGGATATCGATCTTGACATGTTGTAGTTTCTAACTTTTGTGTAATACTTCCTTCAGCTTCTTGACTTGTACCGTTTTCCTCAATCTCATTTAGGTTCATTTCATCGTAATTGTTTACTACGTCCTCTTTGTTTTCAGCTCTCTCTTCTACTTCGTACTCTTCGATTAATATATTTTCGGTTCATTTCTTTAATTATTCAGTATGACATATAATCGTGTTATCCTTTATACTTACTTCATATCGTAGTAATCCCAGCATACATTTATTAATGACTTTTTCCCATTTTTTTTCTTTATTATTGTAAATGCGCGACCACACTTTTTCATTTATCTCGAATTTTTGACTTTAATATTTTAATTTCTCTTTTTTGTTCCCCCGTTCAAATATTTGGTCCAACCAACCTCTAGGTTTAATTTTTAGTAGTATTTCGGCGGAACTTTGTTTATTTTCTGCCCCTGGTGTATTTTGATAATTGAGAGAAAAATAGCTAAACTGGTGTCTAAATCCCTCGTTTCTTTTATTCTTGCCTGTTTAAAGTTCAAACTAAACGTTCAGCCATGTCATTAGTCTAAGGATGGTATGGACCCGTTTTTTTGCAAAAATTATTGAATTTTATTGATTTATATTTTTAAAATCCCCGCAAATTCGTAATCTTTTATCTTTCTTTTGAACAATTACTATGGGTGATGTATAAAGTGAACGATTAATTTTTTCTATTAAATTTTTAGCAATCTGTCTAAATCTTCTTCAACCTTTTATTTTAATGCATATGGTACGGGACGTGATTTATAGAAATTTGGTTTCTCGTTTTTCATATATATTTGTACCTTAAAATCTTTCAAACAGCCCAATTCTTTGGTAATATTTTAATGTTATTTATTTCTATGGCCCTTCCAGCTATTTTAGTTATCCTTGGAAATTTAGTTATCCAGTGTTTCATTTAGATTTTTGTAATTATTGGAGGTAGTTTTAATGTTCTTTTATATTGTACTTTCACTATAGTTTGACCTAGTAGTGGTACCTGATAGCTTTTAAGTTTTAGCACACAATTTGTTAATCCAGGACGATTAAGTTTATTTTTTCAATCAATTTCGTTTACTATGCTTACCTCAGCTCCAGTATCTAATTCCATTCAGGTATCGCTGTTGTTTATTTTGATATCCACCCGAAATTCTGGATTATACTTATTTGTTGTATTATTAATAAATTCTCTATTTTATTTTCTACAGACTCGAGCAATGTGCCTGATTTTGTTGCATTTATAACAAGTGGCATTCTTGAAAGGACAATTTTCCCTTTTATGGTTTCCGCGCAGGAGTGGCAGGGATTTTGTTTTTGTAGCTCGTATTATAAATATTATATTGATTATCATTATCATTATTAACTTTTTAAATTATATTTATATTATCATGTTCATCTTCAACTGATCAATTTTAGTTTCATCAATAATCTTTTTGTATTAATTTTGTGTTTATTATAGTTTTTTTCTAAGTAGCTATTTGAATAACCTTATTTATACCTAAATCATCCTCGGATAATAATTTTGTAATATTTTAGGATTTTTTAGTCTAAATATGAATTTATCTCTTAAAGTAGTATTGAAATATTACATCGTCTATATTTTTCCTCATTTTTTTGATAATATTGATAAAATTATATTTCTCTAATTATATTAGGTTTGGGATGAAAAAATTGATTAAAATATTATGTATTTCTAACACCTCTTTGTTTCCCATACTATCAGGTGCACAAAAATTTATTAGTATGTAAGTATCACATCCTATTGTTAACAACAGTGATTTTTCTTGTGATGATGTTAAACTTGGTTGTATGTTTTAAAATTTTTTAAATAAGTCGTACCAATCTTTGCAACACCGGTTTGAAACCATTAGACTTTTTATCGACTGCGCCATTCTTGAAATAATTCTTGAAGATTAATATCCATCCCCTTCCCACATGTAATATAATGCTTTATGTATTATTATATTTAATTAACATTAACAATTACATTAATCCCATTCACTATCCACATATAATGTATGTATTATAATATTCTTATTTGAATATATATTAATTACAATAATCGTAATCCTCTTTCCATTAGAGTAATTTGCATTCTCTCCAATAGAATGTAATATTTTATTTTCTTTTTATTTTTTAAAATTTTATTCAATACATTTATGTTAATATTACTTATTTATCTTTTGTACATTGTTGGCTATAAGTTAACATGTTAGTTAATTTATATATTAACTTTATTTTTGTTAAATAATAATATATACTAAATTGATTAAATATATAATATATATCAAAAATACTATTGAAAAACCACTTTTTGAATTATCACGCTTTCTTTTTATACAATTTAATTTTGATTATTTGTTTTACCAAATAAATCTTTTTTACGTTTAATTCTTATATTATCATTATAGTCTGAGCTAATCCCTAATTAACTTACAACATGACGGAATGTTAAATGATCCATCATGTGATTTTTCAATAATTTTTTTTAGTGTATTTAAATTTATTTAGAAAAAATTATTTCAACTTGTACTGATTTTTATTTTTTAGGCTTGGCTGGATTAAATAATTTTAATATTAGGATTGGGTACCCAGAACTAGTCTGAAGCAAAACTTTGCATATATATTTTTTTTTTGCTGAGCTTGGCGCTACTCAAATTTTTTATTTGTTTTTAAGCCAGGTCCAATAATTATATTTAATTCCCTATTGTTATCTTAAGGTCAGGCCAGAAATTCTTAACTGATAAATATAAATTTTGAACACATTTTTATAAAGATAAGATAGAATAAAAATCACTAATTGCTTTGCTAAAAGCATTATTTTTTAATTTTAAGCCTGTAGCCTGTCTTGACTCGATTTTTTTTTTAAATTTAAGCTTGGTGTGATTACTTTAAAAAAAACGGGTTTCAGGCCAACTTGCAAAGCTCGAGTCTATGGATCTGATATAAATATATCTAATAGATAATATATAAGATAATTTAATTTTTTTTACTAAAGTTTTTGAACAAAAATAAAATTATGTAGTTTTTGAATATTTTTTTTTAAAATATTTTATATACCCTAAAAAATTTTTTCAAGATTGAGAATACAAAATTAATTGAATGCACAGCACAAGGCAAAGAAATGACTCTAACTTTATTAAATGATCTATCACCTAATCAAGACATACGTCAAATCGGTTCAGATATAAGTATAGGAGATAAACTTATAGAACAAGGTGACAAATTAACGCCTCAGATGAGGGGCCTTTTATGCTCCGTTGGAATCACTGAGGTAACCGCTTACGATAAACCTAAAGTAGCTATCATTTCAACTGGCGACGAAGTTGTTGAGCCCAATACTCTTGAAATTATGGTATAAGTAATAAATTTATGCAATATTTTTAAACAAGAATACAAACGATTAAATGCCCCTAATATAATTGGCCCCGTAGTAACGTATATGTTTCGTAGAATACAAATAAATAATAAGGCATGATTAAATCAGGTAATTGCGGTATGGTGGTCAAAAATTATAACGTCTACTGTTTGGCCACACTTCTATTGTTGGCTTCTGGTTCGGTTCATTTCGAAATTATTCATAGTCAAATAATATATCGTGATGAATCGAATTTAAAAATAAATAACGATAGTGGATATGATAATTAATATATTATTGTTAAAATCAAAAGAGACATATAATTGATAAGCTGAAAGCATAAAATTGATAAACTCATTAATTCCTTATTCAATTAACTATAAATTAAGGAGAATAATTAAATCAAAAGTAAATTATTTTAAAAAGTTTTAATTTATACTAAGTAGTCTTGAACTAGTTCTAAAATTTTATAATTTCGCTACTTGCTATACAGTGTTTTGTAGATTTGATGAAAAATATTTTCATATTTTATAATTTGTTTGCAATGAATTACTTAAATTGTAAAAATTGTTACAATAACATATTCACTGTAAAAATGTTTCCGGAAATTTTAATTATTAGGTTTGTTTTAGGCTCTTGAATATTTAAATTTAATCCTTGCATGAAATAAAAGCAATTTCTTTTATCCAGCTTCACAATATATTTCATAATAATCTTTGCTTAGTTGAGTATTATTTGAAGTTTGTGAAATATCATTTAGACTTTTGTTTATATATTTAAAATGATACTTAATAAATTTTGAAATGATACATTTTTGAGTTTCAAAATGATACTTTATTAGATAAATTACTATATATCTGTTTTTCTTATAAAATAAATACTGTTTCAAAACTAAAATGATAAATTCGAGATTTTTTTTTAAATAACCTTCTTTTCTCAATTAATTTGTATAATTTTGTTTCAATTGTTTTTTCCTTAATTTTAAATAAGATGTTAGGCGGTGTCCTGTTTGAACAACGACACTCAATTTTGGTTTGTTCAAAGTGTTTGGTGGCATTGTTATTTTTGGATTTTTCCCCCCTTTTATGCTAGCTCGATTTTTACAAACGGCTAATTTAATATTTTAACCAGGAAATTACGCAAGCTTCGAGATTTCATTAATAGATGTCTAAACCATTCTGCTAACTATGGCAAAATCTCTAGGTTTGCATAATATTTTTGATTGGGTTAGCCTTTTTTAAAAATCGAGCAGTTATAACACTACATTTTAGGTTGTTAAGTCGAAGCTATAGCCGTCTAAACAGCTTGCTATTTTAGTTTTTTAGCAATAAGGCAAAGGACCGACCTTTGTGCCTAAAATATCAAAAAATTTGATTCTCACACTTTTCAAACTATAGGAAAAAAATAAGCCATTTTAAATACGAAATTTAATGGCCAAAATCATTTTTTCCATTCTTCAAAAATTTTGAAAGTTTTATATTTTTGACTTTGTTATAAAAATTTATAAATAATTTTTTAATGTCTGATGATATTATTTTATCTAATTTAATCCGATCGTCTCACTCTCAAATATCATTGATTCTAATATTGATACATCTCCATATTCAGATGTTATAATGTCTGTACATTATATTTCTATTATTTAATAATAATTATTGAATAATAGCTAGATCAAGCTGATGCTAATAAAGAAAATATGATTCCAATACAAAGCAAAAAAAGAAATTATATTGCTAATCCAAAAAATAAAAAGCTTAAATATATTGAGGATGAAAGAATAAAAATATTTCAAGGTACGTATATATTAAATAAATAATTATATAATTATTTAACAGATATATTGAATAAAAAAAAAGAAGAAGCCCCTATGGATGTTCATCATTTAATGGGGTTTTTTGCCTCATTTTTGAATGAGTTGAATGATATGACGCAAGAAGATATTTATAATTTTAAAATAAAATTTTTAGAAATTTTATCACCATTTAAATAATTTTTTTAAATGTATTATAAATTTTACGCATATTTTATAGTATTATATATGGTATTTATATTTTAAATTAATAATAAAAATATATATTATAGTATGAATTGTTATTTTGTATATTTTAAATGAGTTCTTTAACATATTCCACCTTTAAATTAGTTTAATTTTCTATAAAATTTTGTTATATTTTTTACAAAAAGATCTATAAGTCATATAATTTTCTATATGAAATTTTGTTTTATTTATTTACAAGAAAATTAAGGCCATTTATTAATTATAAAGATTCATGGGTATTTTTCAAATTTATCTACCAAATAAGTGTTGTTAAACGGCTCGATTTGAGCCGATTTTTAAAAACGGCTAGCTCAATATTGTATCCAGAAAAATATTACGCAATCCTGAAGAACTTGGTACATTTATTCACGAAATCTCGAGGCTTAGGTATTATTTTTCTTGCCAAACAACACTACCAAATAATATTACAATTATTTATATATCATAACATTATGTAAAAGACAATTTGCCATTATAATTTGAATTGTATAATTATGTTAGACTCAGGAAATTTATATAAATGTCTAAATTTGGCGCTAAATCGACGGACACTCTAGCAAAAGATAATTTATTATTATAATTAAATATTTGGTCATCTAAATTATTTTTTAAGATATCATTAAAAAATTCAATAATGCATTTTGAATAATTTAATGGAAAATTTGGACTTGAAAGGTTTTTAAAGCTTTCGAATTTTTAAAAAAATATTTTAGCCAGCCTAAATAAAAACTTTTTTAAAATAAAAAATAAAAAAAGAAATTTGAGTTTTTTTTAAAATAACTTTTGTTTTTAAATTATTTATGTCATTGAATTTTGCACCAAATATTTTTTTATTTAGGCTATGTCCAAATATTCGCAAACTTTTGAAATTTTATAAAAAAATTTTGCTTTTTTCTAATATAAAAATTAAAACATGTCCAAAATGTAATTCTTATCAAAAGTTTAACATGATTTCATTAAAATTTTAAAAGTTTCGAAAGTTTTAAAACAATTTAATTTTAAAAAAAATATGTTGGAATTATATATATCTTATTTTACTTATTTTTTAATAAGGCTGTTGTCCTTAATATATTGAAAAAAACCTCAAAATTTATTAATTTTCGCAAATTAATAAAATTATGAATCATGTCCGAACTCTCCCAATATTTTTTTTAAAGTTTTATAAATTAAAATAAAGAAAAACAACAAAACGAGAACAAAATACGTAAAATAACAATGCCACCACTTTAATATTACTTACTAGTTTTTTTTATAAAAATTACTCAATTTCATAAATTTTAAGCAATTTATTAAAATTTATTTCTATTATTTTAAAAATAAATTTTTGTAAAGGTGAAATATGATTTTTAGAGCACTATTTTATTTTTCATTAGAAATAACTTAGGTTTCTTCAAAATTAATAAATTTATTTATATTTTTAGGACACAGCCTAAGCTGTTAATTTAAATATATTTTATAAATCTTTATAATAACAGTTCATTTGAAACAGAAGGAAAAGGTATAAGATAAAAGATGTTTAATTTTATGTAGGGGTCATATTTTATTTATAAAGAGCGCGAAAAGAATTATTCTCCGAATAATTAATCTATCCTTTTTATCATAACCTTATTATTTTCATGTATAACGCCTCGAAGCATAAATGCCTCTGCCTTGGAGCCAGGGTTGTCAGATCAAAATCTTCATATTGCAGTTAAATTTAAAATTGCAACAAAAATAATTTCCCCGCAAAGTGCCTACCTTTGGCCGGGTCAATGAAAATCTCATTTTGGAATCTATAATTTTAACTATCTCATATAAATAAATACCTTGATCTGAAATATGACAAAATTTTATAAAATATATTTTTTATAGAAAAACAAAAGATCTTTATTTTCCAACTGTTTCTCAAAATTTTTATTTATAAATTAAAAATTGATAAACTGCTGAAAATTTTAATGCTGTAGAAATTTTAAATTGCGGGAGATATCCAATTGTTGGAGTTTTGTGGGAGGGAGATCTATGCATGTTGACTAAAAATTGCGGTAGTTTCCGCTGATGGAGAGGGAGACTGAACAACTCTACTTAGAGCCCTTGTATTAACTAACAGCTCCTATTAATCAACGCTACCTAATTTTAAAATGATAATTTTAGGACCTGACCACAACAAATTTTGGAATAAATGTAATTTCCCTTTTTCAAGCATTTATAAATTCAGGAATATTTTTATTCGGTGTCTTTTTTGTCAGAATATATTTTCTAATATCATTGTCCGGGTATTTTTTTTAAAATATTTATATCCCGGATTCGACATGATGAACTGGATTTATTTTTCTAAAACTTTTAAGCTTAAACTCTTAATTATCCTCGCACTAAAATTTTTTCCACTTTTATATTTGCATTTCCTTTTAATTAATAAATTAGGATTTTATATATAGTGAAAATAAGAACTATAATTGCTAACAATGACTAAATTTTACCGTTTTATAATTTTTTAATATACAATGATATAAAATTATTCATCTATTTGCTACTCAATTCAAAAACAAATATGGATTCTATTCTGTTTTTGCCTACTTTAAATAAGGCCTAAGTTAAGGCTAACTCCAATTTTATAAAATATTTTTTGGGTCTTCGATTTTTTCATATATTTGTCTTTACTTTTTTTAAAATAAACTATATTTGATAGAAGATGAGCTTCAATTATTATAACTTGTTAACATTGAATTTAAGTATTTTTCGTTTCATTTTAAAATGTGCCTTTGGTTATATTCTCATTATATAATCCAATTTTTTTTATAAAGTTTTCCCGGGCCCGGCCCGAATCTGAATTTTTTTAAAAAAATTTTGCCGGCCCGACTCAGCCCGAATTTATTTAAATATAAAAATTAATTTTTATAATTACTCAAAATAAACGATATATGTCGTCTACTTTCTATAAATAAAATCACATATTTTTATTATACATAAAAAATTAAACATAAAATGGATAAATATAGATATTTTTATAAAATTTCTAAGGCCCGACCCGACCTGGCCAGAATTTTCTTAAAAAATATTAAGCCCGGACTGGCTCGAAGCCTATTCGGGCCAGTCCGGGTAAGGGCCTGGCCTACTTTTGCAGCTCTACTATCCACATATATATTTATTCTTCAACACTTAGCCAGGACAAGTTAGGGATAGTAACCGTGTTATGCTAGCCTCCTTATTATCGAAATATAATTTTGAATTCGTCGATTTGGGTATAACGAAAGATGACCTAGACATAATTACCCAAACGTTTAAAGAAGCTTGTAGTCAGGCTGATGTTATCATCACTTCTGGAGGCGTATCCATGGGGGATAAAGATTATGTTAAACAAGTTTATTATTAAAAATAATAATGTTTTATGGAGTTCATTTCATATAATTTTTATATTTATGAACAATAAACAATGTGATCCATGTTTAATTATATCGCTATCTTTATTATTACCATCTATTCAGGAAATAATGAACATCAGAATTAGGGCTGAGCCGATCCGCTTTTTGTGGCCAATACAGACTGAAACCAATCCTATTCCCGATTTTTACATGATTTATAATGTTTATATATATTTTTTTCCTTATAATTTTCATGGTCAATTAGGAAGTAATACAATTTTTCTATAAATCTTAAAAATAGCTTGATTATAGTATTCATTTGAATCTCAAATTTTATAGAATGATAAATGAACAATATATTATAATGGATCGGTATTGATTATTATGGTAGCCCTAATTAGAATTACGATCCAATTTAGATATTTATAAGACTTATATTATATGATATATTAAGAATAAAAACGGAAGCACTCCATATTTTTACTTAATTAAAAATAAGCGAACTAATTTGAATTTTACAGATATTTTTGTTAAAATCACAAATGATTTTGCAAAATAATTTTGATTTTCTCGAATTTCAGTTCAGGAATTTTTGCTGTTAAAGCATTTTATTTACAAATTGTAATCAAATAAGTTGTTGTGGTTTATTAATCGATGCTCTGTTAATCTAAGCTCTTAAGTCTAGGTCACGGTGGGGGGGGGGTAAAATATCGAAATATCATGTCAACATGGATATCAAATAAAAGCTAATAAAAAGGATGATACTCACTTAATATCACATACATAATACTCTGTCATAATGGTACTTGTTAGAGTGGGTTATGTCAATATGGGTATCAGATGAAAGCTAATACAAAGATCAATTGATTACATTGATGCGCATCACTTTATGTCTTCAGTGGGATTGGAGGGGGGGGGTGCATAATAAAATATCTTCAATTTAATAAAAATATTAAATTATTATATTAGTCATCTCTCTAGGGTCGGTTGAGTGGGGGAGGGGGATTCTACTAATATTATGTCGGGTATCAAATGAATCTAATGAGGAAATTAATTTATTCTCATCACTATATCTTTGAAGTAGGTAAAGGAGGGGGGGGGGGTAAAGTGTATAATACCTCAACAAGAGTATTAAATAAAAACTAATAAAAAGATCTTATTATATTGATGACTCATCTTTTCAGAATGGGTTGAGGTTAAAAATATACTAGCATAATATCAGAGACCTGCATAGATACAATTTGCCCGGCCCGGCTCGGATTTTATTTCAAAACTATTTAGACCTGGCCCGGCTTTTTATAAAAAAAAATTTCAGGCCCGGCCTAGATTTTTTCAAAATATATTATATTTTCTCTGCATATGTATCGGCATGGGTATCAAATGAAAGCTAATAAGAAGATCGATTTATTACAATATGTTTTAGAAGAAGTTATAAATATAATATTATTATTTAGCCAAAACCATATTTACATATAAAAAGATTACTTTTTAGTAACTAATCATTTTTGAAGAAATCACCAAGGCAACAAGTTGGAAGGGAGGGGGATTATGACGTAATATCGTAATTGAAATTAGAGAGTGCAGTAATCCATAAGGATCAGAAGGGGCCAATATTTTTTTTAAATTATAATCTTTTCTCAATAGCTCTGAGAATTTCTGAATGTTTCATAAGCGATTCATTTTTTAATCTGAGCGTTTCAGTTTTATAGCTGTGCACTTAAGCTTTTTATCTGAACATTAAAAATTAATTTTAAGCATTCATTATTTTTTCTTTTTTTTCCTGAACATTTCAGTTTTAATTCTAAGCGATTAAATAGGATCCCATTTTGTAACATCATAATTTTTTAATTTTTATTCTAGGTTATAAATTACCTGGGAGGTACCATTCACTTCGGGCGAGTGAATCTTAAGCCAGGAATGCCTACAGTTTTTGCTACCCTACCTTCTCAATTCCCGACCAAGAAATATTTTAAAGAAAATAATTATGAAAATGATAACAAAAGCTCTAGCAATAATAATGATTTTGAAAATCGAAATGGGAACAATTATGAAAGCGCTGGAAACACTAAAAAATTAATCTTTTCACTTCCGGGAAACCCCGTTTCAACATTCGTCATGTTTCACATTTTCGTGCTTCCGACTCTGCATAAAATGGCCGGGGACAAGAATTTTAGGAAATGTTTACCTACGTTTAAGGCCAAAGTAAGTTTAAAATATAGATAAATAAAATAAATATTTTCTCTTTATTTATTTGCAAAAAGACTGATTTTTACATTATTTACTAGACTTTGTACTTTAATTTATATAAACATTATATTTTTACCTCGAAAAGAGTATTATTTCAAATATAAAAAGTATCTCAAACTTAAAGTAAAGTATTTTATCAGAAGATAGTAATGACATGTGGTGAAAAGACCGGTTGACTTTTTAAGTAACTGGTTGACCTACATCGAGGGAAAGGCGAGAAAATAAAATGGCAGCACGTTATAAATAGAAATATTAATAAAAAAATGTAAAGTTTTAAATATATTAAATATTGATTGATTGCAATTTGCAAGTATTACGCGTTTTTCATAAAAATTAGTTAAATAAGAAAATAAATGTAATTATGAATTATAACGGTTAATTCCTAATAACATGCCTGAAATGTAATTAAAAATATAATTATTAATTTCTTTTTTTAAGTGGAATTAATTACAGTTACTAATTGCAAAAAAGAAATTTTAATTATTGAAATTAATTACATATTTAATTAATGTCCAACCTTATTCGAAAATGATACTTCAACATTAATATACATCAGAGACCTGCAGAGGTACCATTTGCACGGCCCGGCCTGGATATTTTTTAAAAAAATTTTTTACGGCCCGGCCCGGCCCGGATTTAAAAATTTCAGGCCCGGCTCGGAATTTTTTAAAATTATATTCGACCTGGTATATACAAAAATTCACCTATGAGGTATTTTACCATATTTTTCAGCGAGTATTATCGCTTATTATTTAAAAAATGCATGTAAAAAGCTAATATTTTGAGAATATTATATTGAATTTATAAAAATTATAAAACTGTTATTTATAAAAATGGATATTTTGAGCATATACTATATTTTATATTGCATTTATAAAAATAAAACTAATATTCATAAAAATGGTAATAATATTTGTCATATACTATATTTTATATTACATTTAAAAAAATAAAACTAATATTTAATTTATAAAAATGGAAAATATTTTGAGAATATAATATATTGTATTTAATTTATAAAATAAAAATAAATCGCTATTTAAAAAAATGCATGTATAATAAATAGTATTTTGAAAATATAATCTAATTGCACAATATTAATATAATTTATTTTATAATATAAATTTTAACAAAAGAAGATAATTGTATTATATAATATTGTAAAAAAAAATAATGAAAAATGTTGGATTAAAAACTTTCATGACTCAAGGTAAATATAATAAATGCAATAAATATTTGACAGTTTGCAAAGTAAAAAACCAGCATGATTGACGAAACCCTATATTCAAGAAAGATATTAAAAATTCACAAATTATCATAAAGAAAGAGAAGCATATCTACCTTTTCAGGTTGAAGATTACTTCTTCTTTCTTCAAGAATTCTCCCAGTAGTGGAAAAATTCCGCTCACAGCTCTCACTTAAAGCAGGAATTGCCAATTTTGCTAAAATTGGAAATTCGCTTTGATGAGCCGTCCACCACTCTAACAAATTATCCACCTTAAATGTTTTATCTATTATTTATGTAATTATAATATTCATCATCGGGTATTGACATATTACCAGAATTACCATCGCCCCATTTGTCATAAAACGATTCAGTTTGTTTAACAACAGTCGTAATTTGACTGGTCGATGGTATTTCATTTACTTCCTGAGCCTCTTGTAATTTAATATAATCTTTTATATAGTTTTCCGTCATTTTGCGATCTGTCCCTGACTACATACGTAATTGCTTGAATTTGGGACAGAGAAAAAGAGAAATAAAATGATACTTGTGTAAAACAAATTTTTCAATTAAAAATGCTTTATATTAAGTAAAATCAATTACAAATTTTAAGAAGTGATAATCCTTTATTTGATTGTTTTGGTAAAATATATTCTAAAAATTTAGATATGAATTATAAAAAAATATATTAATAATACTTGAATATTGGGGCTTATTTAAGATATTCCTTTATTTGATTGTTTTGGTAAAATATGTTGTAAAAATTTAGATATGAATTATAAAAAAATATATTAATACTTTGAATAAATTTGCAGGAAATTAATAATTAGATCGATCTGTGGGTTGTTAGGTAGTGTTAACCATCACCCAATATTATATTAATCATAACTATAATATAATATAATCTTATAACCATTAACTCATAATGTAAAAATTTTTATTAAAAATATTAAGGCCCTGCCCGGCCCGGGTTTAACAATCTTAAGCCCGGCCCGGATATATTTTAAAAAAATTTTTTTAGGCCCGGCCCGGATATGTTTAAAAAAAAATTTTTTAGGCCCGGGTATATTTAAAAAAATTAAAATACGCCTGCAGGTCTCTGATGTACATTAAATAATTTATAAAATTAAAAATTAATATCGTATTCAAGTTTTTTTTTACCATCGCTATTTCTAAAAAAAATTTATGCATCCGAATTTAACTTGGGTAAAAGAAATACATTTAATTTTTAAAAATATATCACCAAACTCACCTCCCAGAAAAATTAAGATACATTTAATTATTAAGAACGATATGCTTAATCTAATCATTTGAATATATAAATATTTACGAAGAATTTTTATTCATCCAATGTCATTGGAGGTTTTTAGGACCTAATTTTTAATAGATATTCATTTTAAATAATTTTCTAGACGTCTTGAAAATTGTTTTAATAAACTTTTTATTTTATCTATAATCTTTCCACATTTAGTAAATATTATTGCATTACTGTTGTTTATTATGCGCAGAACTCATTAAATTCATATGACGACAATATATATCTATTCTTTTTTAAAAATATAATTATAGCTAGGAGAAAATCTTGCTTTAGATACACGGCCAGAATACAAACGAGGTTATATTGTCAACGCAGCAAGTTTTATGTGCCATTTTGATTCAAACTTACCTATAGTTAAAAGTACTGGATCAAATCAAATGAGTTCAAATTTAAAAAGTTTTTACGGAGCGAATTGTCTCATCACATGTCCTATGAAATCGGAAGAAAGGCAACTTTTATACGAAAATGAAATTGTCGAAATTATTTATATTGGATAATTTCATTTATACAACTTCCTTACACAAAATTTGGTGCTAATTTTTTTTATTTATAGAAAATAACAATTATTGTTAAATGCAAAATTATAATATGGTGGTTAATAAAAAAATTTATATTTATATTATAGAAACTACAATTTGATACTAATAACTATAATTTACATTTTATAAATTAAGATGGTCATAAGATCGATAAAAAAAATTAAGGGCTTGATTTGACTTCTGGAGTATAGGCATACAAATACACCGGTCTATTGTTGAGATCTTGTGGCTCTCTGACATTGCCAAACATCTGGAGCATCTTTTTGCTGTCTTTGGGTGACGAGTAAATTCCTCTTAAAGTATTCAGTTGTTTAGCAGATAGATACATTTTTTTCGTAGGTATGGTCCAGGCAACATTTTCGGTGCACGGGGGAACTGGGATAGAACCTTTGTATCTGTAGAAATTCTATTTTTAAAATAATTTTAAATATCTTTCCTAAATAAATTTATTAAAATAACTTACGTTTAAGTCTGGCATCAGTTTGCCAAGATTGATTGATGGTACAATTGTGCTTTCACCTATAATAATTTAAAATAAAGAAATTATTTTCGAATATAATATACCTTGAAAACGAACTTTATTCACCATTTTTATAATATTCTCAAGCTCATCATTATGACTCATGACGTCCCATAAAATAGAAACTATAGCAAGACCAGTGGGATCGGCTAGAGCTTCTTTTTTGGATTTGTGCTCTCCTTTGACAAATACCAACTTCATCTTTATAAATATATTAATTTATATAAAATCATAATTTTTCAAAATAAAAATATATATGTTAAAAACAAATAAATGGTAAATAAAATTAAAAAAAAATAATTATTATACTTCTAAGGCAGAGGCCTTTCCGTCAATGAGATGTTCAGAACCTTTCTTGTTGGTTTTTCCCCAGTTGAAAGTCATCTTAGTTAATTTGTAGGCACTTGGTAGACCTCCTCCTTTTATGGTAGGTGTTTCTTCCTTATGCTTAACATCCATGACGAGAAGTGCTCCAGTATTAATTAAAGTAGCATTGATGATAAGAGGTTTTGTGTTTACCAACAGTGGTTTTTGATTAGTCATCTTCATAACACTTTTGGTATTAATGTCAATGGGAGATTGCCTTTTTCCGCCACAATAAAAAGTGAATGTTTTCGCCCACGTTTTAGGTCCATTTAGCTCACTGTAGTCCCACCTAAGCACGGGAGAGGGGCCACAGTGCGATATTGCTACAAGTGAAAGACAGATTAAAGCAAATATCATATTTAAAAGTTTAATTTTATACTTAGAAAAAAATTAAATTAATATTTAAATTATTACAAAATTAAAAATAAATTTTAAATTATGAAAAACTATGGCTTAATGATAATCTTATATACCCTTGATTACAAAGTTACCCACATTGAATAAAAGTTTTTCTATTAATAATTTGATGATTGTTATCAAATAAATATTTACAAATTTTAATACAATATATAATAAAATGTGCGACTTGGTGTCCCCCTCATTTTCCATTACACTTAAAAACAAATTTTTTCAACTATAATTTAATTTTATTGTATTCTTAATATGTATATAGCAACATTTGGCTTTTATGTGATTGATAAACACGAAATTAAATCCATTATGTGTGCCTAAAAACTTTTTGTCCATTAAATTACAAAGATAAAATATAAATATAATAAAAAGTCTTATTCTTGATTTGTTAACATTCAGTTGAGATAATAAAGTTATAAAAATTATACATATGTGTTATCTTGCCACTGTGATCTTAGCATGTGCACTGTACTCACTTTAAATATAAATGTATAAAAACATTAATAAATACTATTTGATTTAATAGAGTAGGGTAGACACTTTTTTTCTATCGCATATGTTATGATAAAGATGTATATGCCAATTCCAACGATATATTTATCAAGCACATAATGTACTTCTAGTTTATTTGTGAATTGTAATTCTCATAAAATGTATTCGTCCCTCTCCAGTCCAAATTTTTTAAAATATATTTATCGACTTGAAAAATTATTTTATTACTAATCTAAAATATTTTTTAACTATAAGAATGGACTTATTTAAAAAAAAGGATAGATATTGAAAATATCTATAATTAAATAGTCCATATTTAATTAGTAATACAATACTTATCGCAAGGTTATAAAAAGCCTACCTTTTCAAAATAAACATATACAAGATACATCCTAATAATTTTAAACCAGGTTTTTTTCACGAGAGATTGTTTTTATTACACGGAAAACCTCCCTGACCGAGTTTATTTTTTAAATATTAAGCCTAACTTTAAACAAAACATGTTTCTTTCAATGTTTTTTTTGTTCCACAAACACATGCTAATTTTTTTTTAAAGAATATCACATGTAAATTTTTATAGTGTCCACACGGCAATAACTAAAAAGAGTTTTTTTATATTAAAATTCACATTTATACGTATAATTGCGTTTTGGAAATTATTATTGTTGGTTTGAAAAAAAGTTAACAGAATATATACATAGATCAAAAGTATAAAGTCTGAGGTTGTTTGATAAAAAAATCACACGTGGACATGCTCACTAAAATATTAATCTTCAATTATTTATCAGAAATTTTTTTTTGATATTCAATTTTCGATAGTAACATCAAATCATCGAATAGTTTAGAAATTATTAATATTTTGTTTTTATCATAGGATAAGAAAATTTATAAAAAAAATAAATATTTGACCCTATCTTTTATCATAATCCTTATGAAATCATTTTAAATGATTAAAATTTTATTTTTAAACCTTTGAGTTTTACAAAATCAGTCCCGTGCGTAAAGTAATTTTTAATTAAGAAGACACCGAAGAGAGGAGGGGAGAGGGATATAATTATTTTGTTGAAAAATTGTAGATTTTGTTCTGCCTATTATACTCAAATTACTTGTATTGAATACTCTTAGGAAGGCGTATAGGAAATTTATACAGGGAAGGGAGGGGGGTATAATTATTTTAATATTGAAATAATTTTATTTGGAATTAAAATGATTAATCAATAAATTTTATTATAAACCATCATATTAAAAATGACAATTTCGAATACAAATAATAAAATATTGAAAAATATGTAAGTATTATAAGCTAGAACCAGTATTCAAATCAAATCAAAGTAAAATATAAAATTAAATATAAAGGTTGTGAACCGAAAATATTAACCGGGTTCGGTTCAAGGTAAAAAAAATTGGGTTCGGTTCATGGGAATATTTTTGTACCCGGGTTTAGTTCCGTGTTCAGCTCGGTTTAGGAATATTTGAGTGATCATATATTTCTACCCTATAACTAACGATTTCTAAAACAACCGTTTTATAAATCAATTATATTTTGCTATCTTTTGTATTTTGCTATCTTTTGTATTTTGCTATCTTTTGTATTTCTAATTGGATGATATCATAAATAACTTGTTCAATTCTTTGCGAATTTACTATTTTAGTAATACAAGTTCTAAGATACAAAAATATGTACGTAGTTAAATTTATTTTCAAATGGTATTTATTATCTTGAAATTCAAAATTAAATAAATCAAAATTTTAAAACCTGTGCTGGCCTATTAAAAATTAAAATTGTACACAAAATCAGAGATTTGCGAGGCCTGGCCTAAATATTTTTTCCTTTAGATTTTATTTCTCAGTTTTAAAACTTATTATTTGTTTATCTGCAGTTTTTTCGGTCGATTTTTTCCACAGTCCTATTTTACCAAATTCGGTTATATTTTTATCTATTCGTTTCAATAATTTCCCTGCGATTGATCGCTATGTTTCTTTATTATTATCTTCAAAAAACAACACTAGCGAAACTTCTATCGCAAAACTTTGATCACGAATGTCGTTTATCTCGAAGGAATTTTAGAGCGAAGGTAATATTCCAAAATCATTTCTGCAAACTTTTTTCCGCTAAACATTTACAGCGAAAACAATATCGCTATTTTATTTACATGAAAACTTTAGAGTAAATACATTTTAGCGAAACTTTTATTACAAACCCATTATAGCAAAACCTTTATCGCTCCTTTACAGTGAATTTTTTTACCACACACTGCGAAGCAGGGATTCGAACCCGAAACCGGAAAAGAAAACCCAGGTTTTGTTTTTTAAAAAATTTCTTAAATCCGAACAACCTGAACTCCGTTTATAAAATTTTCAAAACCCCGAATCGAAACCGGGATTATTTTTGAACCCCGGTTTAGTGAATATGTTTAAAATGATATATTAAGATATTTGTAAAATTGTAAATACAAATATTAACAATTTAATGAGATTTTTTTAATATTTTCAATTTATTTAAATATAAACGGTATAAATCCTTAAATATTACAGATATTACTTAATGATCATGAATAGATTTGTACGAAAAGGTATTAAGTTAATTTATAGAGTAGGATTAAGCCCATTTTATCTGATGATAATAGTTCCGATGAAGTTTGAACATGATGATTTAGAGAAATTGATACAACTTAAAACTATTTATTCATGTCAGCGGAAATACTTAATAGGGCCTTACACATAATACTGTAATGAGGAAGGAGAAAATGTAAATGTAGTTAATTTGGTGGAAGAATGAAAAATATCAAGATGCCAAGATAAAGAATAAGGAAAATGAGCTGAGCCTGCAAAAGGAAAATGGATAGGTTAGATTTTCAAGTTATTCTTATTGCAAATATTTTAGAATTGATAAATCAGGTATCCCTAAATAGACGAACATCTAGTGGTGATAAAATACTCGATTAGGGTCGATTTTAAAAAACGGCGTGATCAAAATTATAACCAAAATAATATTATGTAAGTCTGCGAATTTCACTCATAGATTGCAGAAAGGTTTAAACATCTATTTGCCAAATGACTAGGCTTACATAATATTATTTTGGTTATAATCTTAATTTAAAAATCGACCCAAATCGGGCTTTTTAACAAAAATACCAACATCACTCATAAAGACTGTTACTAATAATGGAAGAAGATTTTCTTAAAAGTTTTATAAATATATATAGGCTGAATAATTAATTGATTTTTGTCATCCTTTAGCACCTATAGCTTAAATAGTGGTGAATTAAATCTATTTATCCAATTGAAACTTGTATAAAGGGGCCTTGAGAAACATTATAATGGTAGAATACATAGAAGACGAGGATCATAAAACTAAAAGATTTTGCCAATTTTTATATAAACTAATTAGCAAATTTAAATCAAGATGGTCATTTTAATATTCTAGAGATAAAAAAATTAAAACCTTTATTGACAAACAATATTACTGAAGAGGGACTAGTAAATTAAAATTGAGATTGTTAAAAAATTATTTGCTAAAAGTTTAGAAAATTATGAAGATTGTGTCATATCAGATTTTGTCAAATTTCTATATCCATACAAAAATGCATTTGCAAATGTTTTTCAGTTATTCTGTATGTTTAGATCATCCACATCAAGTTCTTGCCAGGTCAAAATTTTGAAATTGCGGGAGAAATTTAGTATTTTGCGGAAGAAATATGGAAATAGCTAAAAAGATTTTTACTGTTCACCAAGAAAATTATTAAATGAGATAAACGTTTCAGTAGTGATATAAGAAAGAGTAACTTGGTTTTATTAGGACATGGAAAGAACATAACCGTTTAATTTTGGAAATTTTTTATTAAAAAATACATCTAATTATATTGTTAATACTTTGTTTTTGTTAGTTTTAGCACTGCTCAATCATTGACATAATACCAATTGTAATATAGTTATAAATATTTTCTAAATTACATATATTTTTTAATTGAATCCCCAACAATTTTTCAATTCTGTATTCAAATAACTTAAAATTTTTTTTTGATGTTAAAATAATTGAGCCCCCTCCCCCCAAATGGGTATGCTAGGATCGGGTCTGGGAGGTTTATAATTATATTCATTAAATCTTATATATCTATCTTCAATTTTGGCATCACTTTAATGGACAACGCAATGATATTTTCCTCCTCCCAACCAGGGGTGTGAACCTTTAGACAAAAAACTAGGTCCGGATTCAGAGATAAAATTTAAAAAAAGATGGGTTTGAAGTTCATAATTAAATATTGACTCGATATTAATAAAATGATATAATTTTTTCCATTTATCTATTTTTTATTCTATTCCATATAAATATAATTTAGTAGAAAATTTTAAATGTTTTATTCAATCTAACAATCATAAAATCTTCCAAAATATCTCTTTTAAAATTTCCACGCAAATCTGACAATATGTATTTCAAGGAAGAAAAGGCACGT